TTCCACTCCATCGTATGTAGACCTGCTACTAACGAGTTGATAGCAACGTGTATATGGAATTCAGTTCCTGGGGCCTCTGGCAGCTAGTAATCACTCGATGGTGTTAGCCAGCCTAGAGCTGCCACTGCCCTACTCGCTTCCGCCAGAGCCGTCCTACAATTATTGCAAAACCGACTTCGATGGTCTCAATCGAGCCGCCAGTGAAGTGAACTGGTCGCTGCAGCAGGATTCATCTCTTAAAGCCTGTTGGTCTTATAAAGGCGGGTGTGCGTTCGTTTCGTACCCTTCAAATATCGGAAGGCTGCACCAGTGAAGCCACATTGGTTCGACAGATAGTATGGGCAATTGGCTCAACTGCGAAGCGTATTGTGGAATAAATTCCTCGTGTCTGGCTCTGCCGACGATTATGAGTCGTACAAATGGCAGTGGAATCTATGCAAAAGCGTGAAAGCGTCGGTAGTTCGAAGAGGAGCTTAAAACCTCAGCGAAGACGGCTGCCATAAAGATGTTTGCTTACGTGAAGCGGCGCCTGAGGCCCTCATTGACGTAGCTCTGTTAAAGTACACTGACGGGCAGCGTCCGCATTGGGGGAGCACTTTGCTTCCGTATTTACAAGTGGGCATGCTTCTATACCGAATTCGACGTGTGCAACCCCTACTGAACTCGAGGGTCTGGATTGCGGTATAGATGTCCGCAGTCTACTCCCCAGTCCTGACGGCACGAAACCTGCCCGACCCGATGGACTTCATTCGCTTTGCTTAAAGTGCTTATCGGTCATAATCTCGTCTGCTGTGGCGGATCTGTTCAATAGATTGCTGTCCGAGGGGGCATTGTCGAGCGACTGGAAATGCTCGGTAGTGAAGCAGATTCCAAAAGGCGGTGACCCACGCAATGTGGATAATTACCCGCCGATCAGTCTCACCTCTGTTTTGGTGAAGGTGCTCGAGAAGATTGTGAAAAAGGGTCTTCTCCAGCTGTTAGAGTCGAAAGATCTCCTAACGCCGGCACAGCACGGCTTCATGAAGGGCCGCTCGTGCATCACCAACCTGCTGTTGACGCGGCAGGAATGATTGCAAGCGTTGAATCGGGGAAAAATCAGTGGATGTTATCTACATTGATTTCAGTAAAGCTTTCGATAAAGTGAACCACGAGGTCCTGCTCCACAAGCTGAGGATGTGTGGTGTTGGTGGCGCACTGCACCAGTGGATCAATGACTTCCTTATTGGGAGAAGATGGCGGGTACAGGTGGATGACCACCTAACGGACTGGTACCCCTCCACTAGCGGTATACCCCAAGGCACAGTGCTGGAGCCAATTTTACTCCTGATTCACATAAACGAAGTGCCTCAGCTTCTTCGGTCATCTTGTGCACAGTTTGCACACAACTTCAAGAGTTGGAGGGTTATTGACTCTCCCGACGATTATGACGTTCTTCAGCAGGACCTCGACCGCCTATCCCGGTGGCCTGCAGAAGTTGTCCTACCAGTCAAGCCGGCCAAGCACTCGTTTATGAGCCTGGGGAGGGGTGATAATGGGCGTGCGTACACCCTGGCTGGCAACCCGTCGTATTCCAGCAGTTCCGCAAATGACCTAGACGTACGCACACACTGTGACCTAAAGTCTGTCGACAACACTAACAGACTGTACGTAAAAGGACTACGCCTGCCTTGGGTACTTGGACGCAACTTTTGCACTTGGTCCGAAGAGATTGCCACTCGTCTTTTCTCTTCCATGATAAGACCGGTGCTTGAGTACGGCTCACCCGCCTATTGTCCGATCACAATAGGTGAGGTGCAGAAACTAAAAAGGGTCCAGCATCTAGCTACCGGACTCATCCCCACTTTACGGGGTATGTCGTATGAGGACCGATGTAGGAGACTAGGGCTGTACAACCTGTCCTGTCGTCGGCTTCCAGTTGGTCTTATAAATAACATATCGCGTATTGCACCTGGGCCAGTTCACTATATTGTGGTCGCTGCTGTACGTTCCCGCCGCAAGCAGCACACGCGGACACTTGTATAAACTAGTGGTACCGGATTTAAAGTGCATCGTTTACCCTCTATGCTTCGAGTGTCGAGTGATGAAATATTGAAACAAATTGCTGAAGACGCTAGTCGAGACGATATCGGTGTCGGAATTCAAGAGATTCCTCGATGCCCAGTTTGCGGACTACAGGTATAGGGAGCGTATCGCACCCGGATAAGATGTAAAGCAGCTGAAATATGCTGTCACCGCGCAAGAAACAGCGACGTGATTCCGTGCATGTGCCCGATCCACCTACGATGGAGCAACACTGATTTTTATCTGCTCGCTTTCTATTCCCAGTATTCAGTATTTTCTCGGACACACCTTTCCTGAGTAGACAGTCCCCTAGGGCACATCGGTCAACCGAATCGTAGGCACTTTTGATATCGACGAACAGGACAAAATTGTGTGACCAACAATGTTGTCGCAAAGCGAAGAGGCGATCGGTGCAGCCAAATATCCACCATACTCTACACTCACTTCCCATAGCCTGCTCTATACCACCTCGATCACGTTCCCCGCAAACCCACAAATCGACTGTCTCGGCGTATACTTTTTACTAGTATTGCGCCTAGTTGAATGAAACCCCGAGGTTGTCAAGTACACACACGACAAAAGGACATGAGACAAAGCACCAAGAGACTGAACCGGGTTTATGTTTGTCCCTCTCCTGTATGAGAACTTCGGGATCCACAGGTGGCCGGTTTGATACTGGGTAACCTCAGCTAACCTCGTAGTATACCTATCCCTCACACTACCACTGACTGTCGTGTGGCATTGTTGCGTCGGTACGAATGACCAGCGTACTGTTGACACATCAGTGACTAGCTACTCTTAGAAAGGTGCGTACTGATATAAATTTCCGTGACAACTCTTAGCTGCCAGCTTTCGTTTCGTTACTGTTTGTTACTTGAAATTTGTTTAAACTCATCCTTACTTTGGTGTGATTGACCGGCCTGCGTCGTTCGTAATGGATGTTATCTCAGGGGCCCATTTTCGCTAATACCGTTTCCTCGAACCCGCATAGTTGGTTTTCCTTTTGCCACTTCTCATTCACCTGTATTATTCAATGTCTTCTTTGTTGATTGTTGGCTCCAAAGTGTTTTAGTAGCCTTGTTTCAACTACTGATGTATCCTATTTAAATGCAGATTTCTCGTGTGTACAATTCTCTCCTACCTCATCCTCCGTGTTCTGGTTGCGGTCGTGGGGTGCGAACAGTCGGCGGCGATACAACGCATACCTCTCACACTCCCGAAGTTAGCGTAGCTGCAGCATTTGTTTCCCTATTTCTGGCCCTATACTGCTCAACCTGGCGATTTTTTTCTTCCTCATTCCTCCGTTGTTATCGCGATTATTATTCCTATTTTTATGAACTGAGTCAACTAAACTTATTCCTCCGCTCCTCGACGCACTAATCTTACTGGATAAACTGAACTGAGCATGGTTCCTTCATATTGTTAAGCAATGTCTCAGAATGCGACGTCTTTTTGTTGTTTCGACGTACCGTCCCAGTGCCTGCAGCCACCGAACTGTCAGTAACGTAGTTTGATTTCCACCCTCACTTATTCGTTCTGCCCAAATTCTGGCCTCTGGGGTTTGTTGCTGGTAGTGTGAATGTCCGAAACCGGACTATCGACACGGCTCGTCCAATTTTTCCTTTAGAGACCACGAACGTTTCGACTCGGTCGGGCAATCTAGCTTCGTCGTTCGGTATTTGATGCAGTACGCGTGCAACCTTGAGAGTGTGCACCTCGACGCCATATGCAGGCCACGCTTGGCCGAATCGGGAATCTAGATCGATAACAAGCAGGTTCTATTGTTGTTATGGTAAGCTGACATTTAACCAAACCTCTAATGTCCAAGTACTTGCACTGGTGTATTCCAAGGAGCTGGATGTTATAAGTAGAAATTCATCACATCTAACTCGGTCAGACAGCAATCACACGCCCGGAAAACCACTGCACAACCGTTTCATCCCATCCGGAATCGTTCACAGTGCATGTTCCGTCCGACCCTTGTGGGGCTTGAACCCGCAACTCTACTGTTACCAGTCTGTGGTTGAGACCACTGAGCTACGGGCGGTGATAACGACCATCGTGATTAAGTTACTAGATGTGATACAGTGCCGCTAACTCTCCACTGATACCGCGTGAGGAATGAACAAGTTCCGCGTCGCCTATTTGTTGCAGAAAGAGCGAATGAACCGCACAGCACCGTTATTTCACGCGCCAGGCTCCGATGACTCGGCCAGGTGTTAAGTATGCCAGCCCACCGACTCCCGCGACGTACGTTGTTTGCGCGCCGGGGTGTGGATGGAAGAAGAGCAGGAGTGGCCAAGCGATGACTTGGTCGAGAAGGATGAACTCCCTCACTTCGAAGTTGGCGTCGGTTGGTGTTTTCTGACTGCCTGGCTGGGGACCGAAGGATGCTGGACACGTTTGGTTGAATACGCTAGCTAACATGGCGAAGAGTCGGCCTCAGTGGCATTTGTGCTGCGGGTCTCTTCGTCTCTCCTCTTCCCCTTAGCTTCCCCCTCCATCAACCATCAAAAATGTGTTATTAGCATTATGTTACTTATAGCTGTTAAGTCTACATTGATTAATGTTATACTTTTTGTATTGCGGCACATTAGCTGAGGTGTATTTCTCATCCTCGGCTAACATGTATTGATGATGATGACTATCCACTGACTTGCACGTTACTATCGTGCATGGGATAGAGCATCCCCCTCATCTAGCGACGAACTTACCAAACTTAAACCTCCGCCTTATATGCAGTTTGGTCTGCGTACTGATTACAAAAACGTAGTAGGAGTTGAATGGTATAGATAGCGATTCATCACATCTGAAGTGGAACTGGGCTGCAAGTGAACAAATTTCCACAACCTACTCCATATTCTTCGTGACAGTCTGTACCTTTCCCTGTACATTGTTTCCACCGTTGTCGCACATTTGTGCAACTTCGCATTTCTCAGGTCGAAAAGTCCATATAGTCAACTTGGACCCGGCGAACGATTTGCTTCCCTACACCTGCGCTGTTGACATAGGCGACCTCATACGCCTGGAAGAAGTGATGGATTATCTTAATCTTGGCCCCAATGGTGGTCTGGTTTATTGCATGGAGTACCTGTACACTAACCGTGACTGGCTAGCTGACCGACTTTTTCAACTATCTCTCTCGGATCCCAAATGTTATCTGCTATTCGATTGTCCTGGCCAGGTAAGTATCCTAGCATCATCACGTGGCTTCCCATAAAACCCATTTGAGCAATACGAATTTATTTCGACCATAACAACCTCATTTATGATGTCTACAGTGTTGAGTCCAATATTAGTGTTTTACCTACTTTGAACAGTTTCGATTTGTGCAATTCTCAGGTCTGTGCTTGAATTACATCCAGCTTGTTATAATGCCTTGCTCCTAATAAAACGGACGTAGTGCTCTGGGCGATTTTTCGCACGTTTCTTATGGCCAAACGTCTGCTTCGACGTCCATATCTAACCGACCAGAGCCAGGGTCATACCACTACGGTTGGTGTGTGCCGCAGCCGTATGCTTGGGTGCTTTTCTGTCAGTCGAGTATCGCTGAGAGACTATATTGTATACCATTGCCTTTGATTAAATGATACAGAACGCTACACATTTCAACGTGTCCTCCACTTCTATAAACTCTAAGACATGTTACATGACCAGCCGACACGATCTCGGCCATAGCTATCAATCCATAGTCACCAGGAGTTGTGCTTAGGTCCACCTGTCTGGGTAGTTTCGCAACTGCTATTGCACCACATTACTTGACATATCAGCATAGTCTGTGCTGATTTTCAAACTTGTTTCATCGATGACGACGCGATATTAAGTCTGTCTGCTCTGGTTTCTCTAGTTGTTTCAAATATATCCACCTCAGATGGAAATTAGGTGTTTCCCCCCCCCCCTTAAAACGCTGCACTCCACGACGCATTTCGACCTTGTTCGGTTTCATCATGTAGAGATAGCAGGCATCGAACTCGGGACCATTGTGATATTAGTTGGGATCTCTACCTCTTTAGACACCAGATCACGACGGGCAATGCTTAGCACAGCGGTTAATCACTGATTGGGGAGTCATTTTGAGGTACTCGTTGTGCGCTTAGATTGCGACGCGCAGTCTCAGTAAGCACGGCGATTCTGGCGAGCAACGCCTACTTTCCACCTGCTTCACCTATGCTACGCGAGCTATGCGCGAGCGTGTCATGGGAGCGCGCACGTGCTAACTACTTTGGTCCACATGATGGAAAGATGTTCCTCCTTGTAATCGCTGACTACTCCAACTTCATTGGGTTATTCTCGCTGATATATGCCACATCGGAGACGATCGTTTTGTGCATGCGAACATGTTTTTGTTCATACGGTATATCACTGACATAGGGGTGACACAGCGACTCTCTATTCACTGGTCAGTAGTTTCATGATATCCTTCAAAATAACGGCACCATACATGGAAGGTCCAAAAGAACTTTGGTCTCCTGCGCCAGATGGATTGTTCCCTCTTAATGTCTCAGTGATCCCATTCCTATCTCTTTCCACCTTCCGAGCTAATAACGCGCTTTCGTGCTTTAGACTATTACATGCTCAAACGAGTCACGTTTTACATTTACATCAATTGCGTGCACTTTTCTAAAGGTCACGCTTCCACCAGACTGCTTTTAACATTACTGTTATCTGTTTCTGCTGTCGTTGAAAACCTAGTGGTAAGTCCTATCTTGTACATTATTATACTTTTTAGAACCATGGATACAAGACTATATTTAAAATTCTTCTGTCCCAACCGTTTTCTGCCCAGGCCGTGCGTATAGTCTAGGTTTATAGTTCGAAGTAGCATTATTTATCTAAAATTGGTGCGACGTAATTCGATTTAGCACAGATCCTTCGTTACAATACAAACAAAAGCCGCGTCTAAGTACACACTCTCAACTCAACAAGCTGAAAGAGCAGTCTAGAAAGTGAAAGACGCGTTACAACAACCATCACCCGCTCCACACCGGACAAATTTATACTCACTTACCGCTTGACACCAAATAAAACGACAAACATGATTCCAGGCTGAGGACGCGGTTACACGATACGATGCGATCGATAGTTATCAGGTGAACAACTACGGGAGGATGAGCAGTTTAACATTATGATGCCCCACAAACCGATTTAACAGCCTGCAGGGTTTCGCGAAACTGAAGGCCAGCGAACGGAGAGCACGCTATCGGACCACACCCGTCTTTGTCCTGTTTCAACCGAAACTGATGATACCTTAACACACCCATCCAACGAGCCTGCAAAAGTGGGGCGCGCACGAAATTCAAGCTAGCCGGAAGCACAACACCGCAGCCTAGCTAGAGTATGCCGTTACTCGTGATTAGGTTACCTGGGGAACTCCAAGCCAAAGGGAGGAGGAATATAGCGTACGAATCACCATCGTCAGCCAAATGTTCACACGCCCAGCATTATATGTCCATCCGTATGTGCGTGAAGGTCTATCTATCACTCACCCACAGGTTGGCAACCTATTTTCAGATACATGATTGTTGCACTGTAAATGAATATCTGCTATCAGGTCGACGTGTTCTGTTGCCTTTGCGTCGTTTTGGCTACGAGCCATTACTGCGTTCGCAAACCTTGTGTTTGTTCCGCACGCGCGGATTTTAATATTCCATCTAAGGCAAGTTTATTTTCCGTGGTGGGTTGATAATGCGACCCTTATGGATGGGGCACGCTGCATTCGGTTCATCATACACATTTAGGCTTGCTGAATACCTGCTTGCCACAATGGTAGGCGTTGGATGAGGTAAATGACAGAAGCCACATCCATCAGCAGTCTTAGGATTATGGTTTAAAATTTTCCTAACTTTCCAGAACGTGGGTAAGGAAAAGCGGGTTTTGCACAGGTGGCCAACATCCGACACTACAAATGTTTTTGTTATTACTGAAATGATATTTTAGTATGGGCTCCACCTATGTACGTCATAATTCTCTAAAGGTTAGCGTTATCCTCAGTGAAGTAGAAATCCAAGTGGGATTTTTGTAGATGGTGCAACTGGCGTTTTCTCTCCGGCATGTTTTCCATTCCCTGTTCCACCATTTCTATTTTGAAACACCCATTCTACTGGGAGTTCCAGGTCCCATTCAAACAACCTTATCCACAAGCCCCTTTTGGACGTGCTTCCTGTCATAATATCTCTTCTGAATTGTACTCCTTCAGCAAATCTCACCGGGTCTTGTTGGTCTGCATCATATGTTGGTGGACTTATCAGCTATAAGTAACTTTGATCAGAATGGGTAAGCTATGGTTATATAGTGCAATAGAAGGTACCGGTGTCCATGAGAATGCAGCACCTAGTAGTCAGATCGCATAAACGGCCTCCGGCTCAAGCTACAGACATGGAAAGGTGGGAACTTACATAAGCACTGCGCAGTTCCTGATACCTTGAGGAATAGTCAACAAATGCTTTTTAGCTCCGTTTGCTTTTCCTTTCTTTTCGACATATTTTTTGGGAGTATTTAACGCAAACTTGCTATCTTCTGATAGCGGTTGAACTGTTCACTGAGCTTGGCAATTTTATTGCAACAAAATTGCCAAGCTCAGCGAACAGTTCAACCACCATCTGAACAACTTGAGCTACCAATCTACAATTCTATTGCTATCTTCTATCAATCATACTCTCAATACCGGAACTTTTCGGGTTCTTGACTATGCCATACTGTAAAAAGACTAGGCAGTACTCTATCATCCGCTATGTACGATGTTCGGTTACAGATCCTAGTCAAATACTAAAGATGAAACGAACTCATAAAGGCCAAACGCTTTAGGTTGCACCCAGGTCCAATCCTTTCAAACATTTGGCAATGACTACGGCGGTTTTCGCTAGAGTATCAACTGTATGGGTTTTGTCGACATGAAAACTGTCCTGTAATTGTTGCTTTATGTTTTCTTGACTTTGCCGCTTGTTTTTGCCCTTGTGGTACTATTGCCTTTCGTATTTCTCCACTTCACAACTCAACCATGTGAGTGTTTAATCGTTTGGGAAACGTCTTTTTGTGGAACTTCGCCCGCTGACCTCCCTGAAGTACTTGTGGTTCATCCACACCCTAGACTCAGTTGCTCTCGTCTTACAACCAACATGGGGCATAGGACACCGTCTTTCCTATTGGAGAGAAGATAACTTATTGTTCCCTCTATACCGTCCTATTCTTCCCCGGGACAGCAACTGTGCAACACGGATGCAAATATTCGGGGAGGAACCTCGGGGGCTACCTGAATTCCTGCACCCTTGTCCTTAGTGAACTGTACGTCGAAACTAGGGTGCAACCGATTCTGGGGCGTGGTGAAATGTTCCGAGTGTGGGCTTTCCACCTCTCCGCATGTGGGCTTGTATTCGAGCAATTGTATCATCAAGGAAGCCATACTGTTTATATGCTTCCTTCCTACCAATCTTAAGGGATTTCCCATGGCATTAAGTTTTCTGCCCGCCACGAACTCGTCCAGGCTACCGTAATCATAACCAATTATATCCGCTACTTAATTAACCTATACAGTGCGCATAACATACCTTGTGCTATTCGACACATCATTGTAAAATTACTCTTTCTTCAGGCTCAGTATTATGCATCTCAATCATGCTCATGGTTTGTATCAACACACCGACGCTGCCATGTATTGTTGGTCGCATTTAACTGGAGTCGATCCTCACTCGGGTGAGGTCCCATTATAATTGTACACTTAGTGAAACCCGGATCACACTTGTCGCCTCCGTCAGCAGTAGCGCTTGGTCTGGATTGTGCCCATCATCCCAACAACATAGGAGACGATGTTCACAGCTCCGCGGTATCGGTTAACACTTAACCACTGGAGCCCCAATCACAACAGTCACACTATCTTGATCTTCCTACACACCATTGGCGGCGGCCTTGCTTAGTGGTCTTTGGAGGATTTTCGGAGTGAAAAACCTTAGATCTGGTATGCTGACGGTTTAGCAGCTATGGTTATGCAGTTTGATTTGTTGGCCCCAGTATGCATTCTGTTGCTCAGGAGCGTGATGCACTTCCCCTGAACAAGGACTGTCCACTTTCAGGGAACAAAACACAGAGCCTATGGAATGTTGCTGCTCTGGTTCGTATAAGGCTAGTTTTAACTCACAGAGCGCTTACGGCGCACTGAGTTACACTCCTTTATCAGTCATTTTCTTCCTTCACTCACCAATCACCTCTTGTTGCATGGTCGTGACTGCACATGCTTGTACTCCTTTGAGGCATCCGCCGACTTTTATTTCCTGTTCATCCGGACTGAAACCGATCAGGTGGGTCATCCATCCTGAGTACTCTGATTCCCCACGCTCTAAGCTACATAAATGACCTTATCTATGGAACTAAATACGTGTCTTAAATTATCTGTCACTGGGATTTTTGTTATGTATCATCAGTTGATCGCATGGTTCCCTGCTCTTAAAACGCAAGTGGGTTTTCCTCGTGCATCTCACTTATGCACTTTTCACCCGTTTTTTTCAGGTTGAATTATACACCCACCATCCTTCCACTCGCCAACTTATATCTTTTCTCACAAGTACGCCGGATCACTCAGTTCCAGTAGCTGGGAAGGAATGTGACGACGTGACATTCTCTAACGGTTTGAGACTCCATTTGACAGCCGTTCATCTAATCGATTCACATTACTGCTCTGACCCCGGAAAATTTATCTCCTGCCTACTAACATCTCTCTGTACCATGCTGCAATTCTCTCTGCCACATGTAAATATTCTGAGCAAGGCGGATTTGGTTGAACAATTTGGGGAACTGGATTTCGGTTTGGACTTTTTTACCGAAGTTTTGGATTTGCAGTATCTCGTGGATAAAATCAACAAGCACAACGACCCATTCTTGGCTAAATATGAACGCCTGAATCAAGCGTTAATCGGTCTGATTCAGGACCACTCTTTGGTTCAATTCTTGCTGTTGGATATCTCCGATTTATCACATATCGAACGAGTGATGCGATATGCCGATCGTGCTAATGGATATGTGTTCGGCCCCGTGGAACAGCATAACTTGCAAGCTCTGTTGCACTACGCTTCGGGTGTGGAGCCGAATGCCAATTGGATAGGATTGGCTCAGGAGAAGTACCTTTCCCAAAATGTTGTACAAGATCCAACTGTCGATCAGGACTTTCCAGCTGAGCGCATGACACATCCACTGGGCTCCATCGACGAACTTATGTGAGGTTGTGCATATGCATTTTGACAGAGTGCGTTTCAGCTTCGTGCCTTGTGCTTGTTTTGGCGCTATCCTCCTTCATCTACTGAATAATGCCTGCATTTCGTTTCTTCTGTTTGCGATTGGTGTGGATATTTTTCTGAACGCAGTCATGCTCCACATGGGACGATGCTTTAATCACTGGCGTTTCATGTGATGATATCTGCCTTTTGTCATCGCAACAACGCATGGCCGAACTGCTTATTTTACAAAGTGAGGATAGTGATGTTTTTGGTAGAATCAACTTCTTTGTACATGAATTGTGCAGCTCGAAAATCCCCTCAATCGATTTCAAAACGGTTTTCTACTCTTTTGTAATCATGGTCTTACTCCATGGCCAGACAAGGGAACACTTGGGTGTGCTACATTCTCATCTGTGCTGGCCATGTGCCTCATAACAGATGCGGATCTACTCCGCGATTATTCGAAGTCCCCGAGCTTAATTCTTGATCATTGTCCTTGCATCTTCATGTGATAGTGTATTCCATGTATTAACATGCACGCCTTTCTACCCCGCCTACTCGATATTCTCCGATATTCCACTACTGCGCGACCGGTTCATAGTGTCGATTGTAGCAGTTAAGAGAGCGCCGACGATCCCGCCCTTCCTACTTTGTGAGTCTGCACAAAGACGACTCCACCTAAGAAAGCATTCGTTCATCTTGTCTGAATGACAGTTCTGGGACTCAAGACGTCCGTACACTCTCGGCAGCAATCGATGTACTTAAGTTGCTAATGGGCCACGCAATTAATGGCGAAAATATCAACAGCAACGGAATTATATTTGGTCTTGTGCAGTAGTCTTGTAATTTCGACTTGAGCTTCCTGTATTTTCAATCCGATCGGCTTTGCTGGGCCGCGTCTCACCTTGTTGCGGATATACCAATTATATCAAACAACTTAGTGGCACATTGAGCCAGCTCTCACGCAGACCTCGAGTCAGCAAAACGTGTGACGTGCTTTCCCTGCACATCGGCTTCTTTATTCGTGCCGAACGAGAATGGTGTTCGTATATAACTTGGCCATACCGAAGGCGTTCCAGCCTACTCACAATATATGGTCAGCGAGTTTATCTCAAGTATTCTTACCATACGTCATTAGTTGATCTTGATAACTGCTGGTTTTGCTGGATTACTAATTGTTTACCCAAATTCCCAGCAACCCATCATCAATCCTCGAAGGCGCCCAACTCTCATGTGTCTTGAGCTTCGCACATCTGTTTCTCATTGGGGCATGGTTAACAACTTTTGTACATTACTCTCACTTAGGAACCTGTTACTGGGATACTACACCTGTGAATTATATCGCTGTTTTTGAAGTGCCATTTGATAACTGTATAAAACAACAAAATATTGCCTCAATCTCCACTGAAATTCATGTGTATAGTCAAAATCAGAACAGGTCATTTACACAGCGTTGTCATTGCTAATTTTGAAGCAGGACATCAACCAAGGTATGTTCACAACTATCCTTCGGACAGACAGTTGCGAATACTAGTAGAGACTCGCTGTGTCGGCAATCGTGCATGACAGGTGCGATCAGATATTTGCCTTGTGTTATGGAGTTCGCGAACATAAAACTTACAATTGTCGCGTGTAGATCGAAAAGATAGAAAATTTTATTTCTCATTATGCATGAAATGAAAAAAGTCTTCCCAGTCTATGCGGGATATTTATTTTTTCATGTCCTGGATCTAGTTCCAGGCTGACAATGTATGCGATTTCAGCTAACAAATGTATCTTGTTACTGCTATTAGACCTTATTCCCGTGTACACTTGACATCATTATATTCAAGGCGGTGGATAAATTTACCTTGCATGTAGAGCAACGCGTGGTGCCAAAGTTTTTAGTGTATTAGAGCACAAAACCAGCCGGACTTCACAGAACCATTTGGTCATAATGTTGTGACAAGGCACCAAGTCAACTAACGGCTTAGTTTAGTGGACCTCACCACAAACGAAACAGGTGTCAACGTGACCGTAACAGTGCATGCGAATTATTGGGCCATGCGACGACGCAGCTTGTCAATGGGACCTTGAAACTACAAACCCAGCGTTAGCCGTAGCTCAAACAGGTTGGCGACAGAGGTCGTCGCGGGAATCACATGTTCGCCCTGTGCCAACTGATTTCATGGGGCTTGAGGCTGCGAGAAAGTAAGCCATAGTGCAGTGGCGCAGAAGACAGAGACCACGTAGAAGACTGAAAAGCCACTAGAACGAGCGAGGACTGAAACGGACGCCTACATCATAGACGAGGTCAGACGGCGCACCGCAAACCGCACAGTGCGAGCGGAGAGCGGACCGTGATCCTCCAAGGGGATGGGGCCTGAACCAAGAAGTGCAGGAAAAGGATGTCGAAAGGCCGATAAATCGGACAGAAACTTCTTTGTCTGTGTATCCAGGACTACCCCCAAACCGAATAAGGCAACCGAGATCAAGCAAATCAAGAGCCTTGGAACTACTCTAGGCTAATCAGAATGCGAGCTATGGAAGCAAAGCTACGGTGTCAGACAAACAGCCAGGGCCCCTAAAGTTGCGGGCCAACGAGCCACGAATGTGACGTGATTCCCCATATTGTGGGACGGACACATTGTCGATAAATGCGCGCGTGCGCGCACCTTGTGATCCGTGGTGGCGTGTAATATATATTGCGCTTTCTTGCCGCTTCGTTCTTGCTACACTATGATAGCAGTGGACTGCGTGGCAGTCCAGATGCATCGTTTTTCCTGGTGAATACTTGTCAGAAGAGGAGTTAAAGGCAGAACTGAGGGGTTTGTGGTGAATGTAGACCATAAAATGTGTACCGGAACTGACAGATAGCTAAGCGCATAGTAAGCAGTTCTCTACCAAACGGGCTGTAGCGGGATTCTGCTGGTCGTGTGCGTTTGGGGAAGAACCCGAAAGGTTGTCTCTGTCTACTAACTTGTTGTTGGGGAACCGCTCCTACCGCAACGTCTGAAACGTCAGTTGTGAGAGAAGAGCAGACGTTTCGGAGTGAGCGAGTAGTGGTATTTTGATGATAACCCTTGAGCTCCGTGACAGCTGTGCGCGTTGTATCGTTTCCTCTGACTAGCTTAGTCAGGAGCTGCATAAGCTGAGCGCAGCGAAAGAAAATGCGTCGATAGTAGTTGACTAGAGCACAACTTTGACGGAGGTGCTTGTATAGAATCGGAGCTGGAGGGTCTTCAATAGCCCGGATTTTGCCTGCAAAGACCTCGATACCTGGAATTCTATTGCTGACTTGCCGAGTTCACACTTAGTCTAGTCAGCAGCTGGAAGAGTAGTTGAAGATACTCGACTTGCTGTTCTTTGCACGAACTGGCTACAGCAATGTCCTCGAGGTAAAGATGGGCACAGTATAGACCATGAGTGACGTGGACGGTGCTGAAATGTCTGCAGCGTCGCACAGTCCTGGGTCATTCTTAAAAGCTCGAACAAGCCGAAGAGGTTGATGACGGCAATTTCACGCATGCATTTTCCTTTTACAGCAACGTTGCGTTAGGCATGAACAAGATCGATCTTACTGAAGACTCACCTGTGGGACATGCAGTGAGGTCTTACATGTGTGGGACCGGAAATTTCTTTAGTGCCCGTTAGTCACCGCAAGGACACCAGTTTCCAGCTTTCTTTGGCACCATCTGGAGGGGATGTCTAGCGAACGGATTATTCCGAGTTTGAGCATGAGCTCGAACTCCGCCCTAGCTAATTTCACTTTGTCCGGTGTTTATCGGTGCGGTCGTGATGAAACAGACGGGCCGTTAGTTCGTTAATGAGGAGTGATTTGGGATGCCACGGAGAGTCTCATTCGTTTGCTAAACGAGCTCAGAGCGATAAGAAAGGTGGTCTGAAGGAAGACGTAGACGGGGGTGATAGGTGCGACATCGGCGTTGGCGATCTAGATACTGAGCGTCGTTTCGGAATCGACTATTCTCTTTCCTTTAGCGTCGGCTACGAGGTTTAATTACTCTAGAAATTCTATGGTGATAACACGCGGAACCGCGGCAGTAGTGAACACCTGGCAAATGTTCTGCGGAGACCCAGGTTAATGAGTAACGAGCATTGACCGTAAGTAGGAATGAGTGTGCCGTTGGTGACACGAAAGTTGAGGGTGAACGGCTGTGTCGCTTCTTCAGCTACGCGCAGAACCACGCTTACTTCAGTTCGGGTATTAATCAGTCTTACGTGCTCATGGTGTATTCATATTCTACAGCGTTTGCCAAGTTTATTACATCCAGCAAACTTTTCATATTTCTTCACATTCCTCGTAAAAATCAAATCATTTTACTGTAAACTGATTATTTTATCCAAAAAACATCGATTCGAAATCCATCAAGATTAGTATTTTATAATTGATTCTTTGGCAATTTCCAAAGCGTTAACACGCAAAGGGATGAAGCGGATGAGTAGTCTGAAATGCTCGCTCTTGCTATCATTGCCTGCCCAGGTAGCTATAATTTCTTCACTCAGTTGTTTCTATTTTTAATAATTTTTATCTTTGACTTTAAAATTGATTATAAGTTCTCCATTGTATTCATGTCAGGAGTAGTTTCGGATCATGGCAATAACATTGCGGAGTGGCGCCTGAAATACCAGTCGATAAGAATGACATCTAAGCGATGTGTCGAATACGGGATAGTAGAGAAGTTGGAGGCAGCTGGACCCAACGTGTATTGTACAGGCTACAAGATTAGGAAGCGAATCAACAAGGGCGAGGAACGGTATAGAAAGGGACTCACCAAAGCAGTTTGTGAAAATGGAAGTGCCGAGAATAAAACAAATGGCCGTTGTGAAGGTTCAAACAACCGTACAATCCAATGTTGTAAAATACTGAGTGTTTTCAGGTGCACTACAAGGGCTTCCCCTTGGAAGGGTGAAGGATGGAAGCCTTTTATAGAGCTGTCAGTGGGGGGAAACGGAGGTGAGGATGAGTGCGAATAATAGCATGGAATTAAACACGTGCTTCCAACATGTGATGTGTAGCGCAGTTCGCTGGGTACAGCCTTCTGTTATTTTTTATTTACGATATTCATATGGACTATACCTTTTCTCAGTTAATTTCATCCATAACGCTTTCAAACTCAGTCTTAAGGAAATCGGTTTCATCCATACATCTTTCAGAATCATCTTTAAGGCAGTCATATATCATCCTACGGGCGCGAACGCCCCAAACCGCGCCACTGTTTGACTGACTAATCCTAAACCAAACAATAGCGCAGTAGACCAGTTTACGACACGAGTTGCCAGAGAACGCTTGGGTGTCGCCTAGATCGCATGCGATTTGGTGCGTGCCTAGTCACGCTCGGCACTCGTATCTAGGCCTGATTGGCTACAATGAAGCTATACGCATGCAAGGGGGCATAATCGTGAAACCCACGTGGCGTCATCTGCGCTTAGCAGTCACGCGTGGTCATGGCGGTTGGCACGTAACCTCCCAAGCATTTGCTTTTCTACCCAAAATTTGATTGCGCGGTGGGTCCGCGCACGTCGTCGCTGAGCTGTCCGTATACTGCTAGGCACCCACATGACTGTGTCCGAATGAATTGGCCGTTAGGAATAATGACGTGAAGTTGCTCACACATACCGCTGTCGAGGATCGGCTGGCATGGAATTTAGGTTAGTGGCACCAGAGGGGCGGTGCGAGCGTGTGGACCGCGGTGCGTTTCGGGCTGCGGCATGCTCACTGAGCGCAATGTTAAAAGGTCTGCGCTTGATGGATATAGCGATTCGAATCAGGATGATTGCGCGCGCGCCGCACATTGGCATCCTCACCGAGGTTTCACTCGCCTATTGCCTTGGTTACGCCGTTGTTCGACTGAGCTTGCTCCTGGGGAATATTTCATATCATTGCCTCGTGATTCCCATTGCAGTTGCTAATACATGTAAGTGCCTGAGTGCGTCATCCAACCGTACTTAAACATGAGTTGTGTTGTTGCGAAACAGACCGAATGTGGTAGATCGCTACAGGGGCGACACACACGAGCAGATAAGACATTTCCGCAACACTTCGGGCGGTTATACTTTTCTGCCATTTTCAAAGAATGATTTCAGCCAGGTGTTATCGTTAACCTGCAGTACAGAGCGGCGAACATATTGCGGGTAGCTCAGAACAATGTAATCAGTAGCAGATAATCAGTAATACCCGTGTGTGACAATTGGAAACCCCACGTTGAATCTGCTCCAGATCGGTGGCATCGTGCTTCATTTGATTGACTTGCTTGTTCTACATGATAGTCCCCAGCTCGTAATGTTATTTCCGTTTGCTCAGTACAACTTTCGACGGTAGAGAATTGTAGAGCATGAGTTTCGAACCGATAGGAGTGGAAGCTCTG